AAAAAAAAAAGCCAGGAGCAGTGGCTCATGCCTGTAACCCCAGCACTTTGGGAGGCTGAGGCAGGCGGGTCACCTGAGGTCTAGAGTTCAAGACCAGCCTGGCCAAGATGGTGAAACCTCATCTCTACTAAAAATACAAAAAATTAGCCGGCTGTGGTGGTGTGTGCCTGTGATCCCAGCTACTCTGGAGGCTAAGGCAAGAGAGTCACTTGAACCCAGGAGGCGGAGGTTGCAGTGAGCTGAGGTGACGCCATTGCACTCCAGCCTGGGCAACAAGAGTGAAATTTTGTCTCAAAAACTAACAAACAAAGAACAACAAAAACAAAACAATAAAGTCTCTCCTTACCTAAATCCGGACTTGTTTGACACATTGACTATATAGAAACCCATTCAGTTTCAGCTTGGTTCATTTTTCCAGAAAAGAAGGAAGTCAACTGACCACAGATGCATCACTTCAGTATGTGGGATGGTGATGACAAGTGGCCAGCCTCTTCATATAGAAGTTTCCAGCTACGCCTTAGCTTCCCCACTGTCATATAATGAAGGATTGGGTTGGTCTTTGTCACCACTTCCTGGGAGCCTCTAAACTTTGGAGTTTTTGGAAGTGTCTTTGTCATTCACAGTGGATCTCTGACCTTTTGTAAGTTTATGTTTAACCATGTGACTCATGATGGTCCCCTGAGGTAGTTTCAGGATGATACTCGCCATACAGGAAAGACCAACCATGTAAATAATTGGAGCACTGAGACACCTGATATCAGTTTGACCTCTTGTAAGAGGAAGGAGTTGGAGATTAAGTTCAATCACATCATGTGGCCAATAATTCAATAAATCAAAATAGCTAATGAAACTCCAAGAAAAACTTTGGATACTGATATATGAGTGACATTCCTGGTTGGTGATAGACAGCAATGTGCTGGGAAGGTGATGTGTCCTGAGGATATGGAAGCTTTGCCTTTGGGACCCTCACATATCTCACCCTATATCTCTATCCTTTGGGCCAGTACTGATCTGTCTCTTTCATAATAAAACTTTGATTGCAACTATAGTGGTTTTCTGAGTTCTGAGAGACATTCTAGTGAATAACTGAACATGACGGGGAGTGGAGACACTTAAATTTGTAGCCAGTTGGTCAGAAGTATGGGTGGTTTGGGGCCCTGCTTAACTTGCGGCAGGTGTCTGAAATGAAGGCGGTTATGCCGGAACTGTGTCCGTCACCTGTGTAACTGGACCTAACTAAGGTAGTCACTGTCAGAAGGACACTGCACTCACCTACTTTAGAGTTCTCTACATTCCTGTTTGAAGAGCAATTTAAATCATAGAGCTGCAAATTCAAAAGGAATAGAGGAGAGTAACACTTAGAATATATAGCTCTTGGATCACTCACATTTCCACAGTGATCTCCATTTAGAGGTGGAATCAAAGGAGGGCCTGGAATGGCCGAGCCCCAATTCTATCCTTAGTTTTTTATAACTCTCTACCACCCAACTACCCATCCTCTGCATCTCAGATCATGCATGTATCTGCAAACAGGGCCATGGAAAAAGAAGAACATGTGGTCAACAATAAGTGCCCACTGGCTTGCTGAACCACCACTCCTGCCAAAGCTTTGATTCATAAGCCAGAATCGAAACAAAAGTCTTCCTAAATATGAAAAAACATAGGTCAATAGCATCACCTGAGGGAGTCTGGCCACTTGTCCCTTGCAATTCTGTTTAGCAGCTTCTGGAATGATCTAAAGAGTTCCACTTTGCTGATTTGGGATCTGTTTGGAAAAAGAAGGCAAAGGTGATTTATTAAGCATTTAATTTGTTCCAAGCACCTATTGAAGATGCCAGGCTTCACATAGTGTGTAGGTTTCAAGGTTCCAGAGCCCCTCATTTTCATTGGTGCTTGGTAGGGAGAAAATCTAGACCTGGATGTCTGATTGGGTTGAGGTACAAAAATGAGTCTAACCTTAAGAAATGTCATCAGCAGTGGAAGCATTAAAGTGACAAGCCCAAACAGGTACCCTGAAGTGCAATTACTGAATTTTGCCCTAGGATATCTATAAGACACTTCTGGCTACCTCCTTTCAAGGGAGCTGGTCCCTATGGGTTTACAAGAAATGGAAAGCTTTGTTTCAGAGACCTGAGTGCTGTTCCCTGTGTGAACTGCCATTATAAAATCCACTTGGACGAGCCACCTGAGGCAGAATCCCCGGACTCCTGCCATGGGCATCATAAGCCTTTGAGGCCAAGTGTTTGCTCCTAAACAACGACGGTGGAGGGCATGGTTTGGAATACTTCAGGAAGTGAATGTTGGATCTTTATGAGCCTGCCCAGGCCTTCGTGGTTTCTGCTCATCTGTGCCAGATGTGGCCTTGGTTGTATGTGTTGCCTTCTTTTCCCTCATGTACACAAGTCATGAGCTGCATCTAGGAATTGGGAAATGCTGTGTGTACCAACAATGTGCAGTCTCGCTTTTACATACCACACTCTGCATCATCCTAGCAGATTGTACCCTCAGCTTGGACACAGTGACCATGACTGCTATATGTGAAATAGGGAATTGTATAGTTCACACAAAATCTCCCTTACCTTGCTGGAACCTAGCCTACTTTAGGAATTGCTGCTTAAAGAGGAACCCTGAGGCCTCAAACACTATTCTCCCAAGGTCTTAGCTGGAGTGGCTGCTGGCACTCAGGAAGATGAGGCTACTTTTGCACGGAAACAAAGCAAAAATTAATGGAACTCTCATGAACAAATTAAAGAAAAATAATATAATTATGGATCGCCAGACATGGTGGCTCATGCCTTTAATCCTAGCACTTTGGAAGGCTGAAGTGAGCAGATCACCTGAGGTAAGGAGTTTGAGACTAGCCTGTCTAATATGGTGAAGCCCTGTTTGTACTAAAAATACAAAAATTAGCCAGGAGTGGTGGTGCATGCCTGTAATCCCAGCTACTCAGGAGACTGAAGCACAACAATCACTTGAACCTGGGAGGCAGAGGTTGCAGTGAGCCTAGACTGTGCCAGTGCCCATCAGCCTGGGTGACAAAGTGAGACTCTGTCTCAAAAAAAAACACACACACACACACACGCACGCACACAATTATGGGGAAAATATATGCAAAGAAAACATTTGGTAAAATTCAACATCCTCTGAGTTATTAAAAATCTTTTGGCAAACTAAGACTCAGAAAGCGTACTTAAATTTATAAAGGGCAACTATAAAAACCTATAGCAAATATATGTCCTTAAAATCAGGAATAGGACAAGGGTACTTGCTATCACTGCTTTTATTCAACATTATGCAGAAGGTTCTGGCCGAAAGGACAGAAAGAGAAATGAAAAACAAAAATCAAGTCATCATTTGCAGATGATTTTGATATTGTCAGTTCTAGTCAATACAGTAATACAAGAGAAATAAATAAAAGGAATAAAAGATTGGAAAGAAACACTGCAGAAACCCTACAGGTTTGAACTATGTGGGTCCACTTACACATAGATTTTCTTCTGCCTCTGCAAGCCCTGAGACAGCAAGACCAAACCCTCTTCTTTCTCTTCCTTAGCCTACTCAACATGAAGATGATGAGGATAATGAATAAATATATTTTCTATTCCTTATGATTTTCTTTCTTTCTTTCTTTCTTTTTTTTTTTTTTT